GAGAGAGAGAGAGAGAGAGAGAGAGAGAGAGAGAGAGAGAGACGAAAGCTTTATTTAGGGTCTGTAAAACAGCTTCATCAGACACTAATGCCACATCCCTTCTATTAAGACTGTCTAATACCACAGTCTATTAAGCTGTTAGTATGTGATACGAAATCTTTCTATCACTGTAATATGTCCAGTTCCAACTGGATCTCAGATTTTCTTAAGTAATCACCAAGTGTCTTTTAAAATGAGGGACTACAGAATTATAGTGTTGGCTAACCATTCTTTTGCATGCTGACTGGTGGTAATCAGATTGAGAACTTCTGTTGCTTACTGGTCATCATTGCTATTTTCTAAACCAATTCTTACCTCTTCTTAAGCTGTCAAAATTAAGAAGACTCTGCGGAACCTCACAGTGACAGAGACACAGGACGCTATCTTCTCTGTCGAACTTACACACCCAGATGTCAAAGGTGTCCAGTGGATAAAAAATGGAGTCGTTCTGGATTCCAGTGACAAGTATGAGATCTCAGTCAAAGGAACATTATATTCTCTGAAGATTAAAAACTGCACCCTGGTAGATGAATCTGTCTATGGCTTCAAACTTGGAAGGCTAGGAGCCAGCGCCAGGCTGCATGTAGAGAGTAAGTTGACTCGAACATTGTATAGGTAGGCAGCCAGTGGCTACCATCCTGTTAATTGTATTACTGAATTTCTCCAACTTTCCCCATTATAGCTGTCAAGATCATTAAAAAACCAAAGGATGTGACTGCCCTGGAAAATGCTACTGTTGCCTTTGAAGTCAGTGTCTCCCATGACACAGTTCCGGTGAAATGGTTCCATAAGAATGTGGAGATTAAGCCAAGTGACAAGCACAGACTGGTCTCAGAGAGGAAGGTCCATAAGCTGATGCTGCAGAATATCTCCCCGTCTGATGCTGGGGAATACACAGCCATGGTGGGGCAGCTGGAGTGCAAAGCAAAGCTGTTTGTAGAGAGTAAGTGTTTGGCAGCCTTTAAGGCATTTCCCCGGGTGACTCTATGGGTTTGCTACTGTTTTCCTTCATCTGCGTTTAAAAATACACTAACTGAGCTACTTTCTGATTTCCCCCCAAGCACTGCATGTCACAAAGACTATGAAAAATATTGAGGTTCCTGAAACCAAATCTGCCTCTTTCGAGTGTGAAGTGTCCCACTTCAATGTCCCTTCCATGTGGCTGAAGAACGGTGTGGAAATAGAGATGAGTGAAAAGTTCAAGATTGTTGTGCAAGGCAAACTCCACCAGCTGATCATCATGAACACGAGCACTGAGGACTCGGCAGAATACACATTTGTTTGTGGCAATGACCAAGTCAGTGCAACCCTGACAGTGACCCGTAAGTAAATATATAGGTATATGTGTGTATGTGCCTGGATAGGTGGTTTGTATATATGTGGAGGTACCTGAATAGCTGCCCCGGCCGGCGGGGCTCCGGTAATTCATGAGTCCGAGGTGGATCAAGCCTGAAAATAATGGGCGGGAAAGAAGAGCCAAAGAAACCAGGATCTTTGTCAAGGTCCAACTTTATTGAAACCAAGGGGCTTTTTAAAGAGAAAGGAGGAAGCAGAGAAAAAGGGGGTGGGGGAGGAATGAATGTTAATTGCTCTCAGGCAGGTATCCGGAATCTCCTGTGTTAAGGAAGTCGGGGACGGAATAGGTGTTAGTTGCTTCTCAGGCCAGGTCCCAGAACCTGAGGGGTGGGATGCTAGACTAGCTGGCGGCTGCCTAGGCATGGGGGGTTGCCAAGGCTGGCTTCTGACATCGTGGGATGCTAGACTGGCTGGTGGCTAGCTAGGCATGGGGGGGTCGCCAAGGTTGGCTTCTGACAAATAGGTGGTGCGTATATATATATGTGTGTGTGTGTGTACATGAATAGGTGGTGGGTATGTGTGCACATACACTTATCTAGATATTTAGCAGATTTACTCTTTCATATTCTACACTTTTGTCTCCAAATGATTTAACTTATTGAAAACATTCTTGATATAGCATCTACTGAGTGTTCACAATGAGTCTCCGCTAGCCTCTTTACACAGATAACAAGTTTCTAATTACAATATTATCAAAAGTCTACCTAGAGAGATGGTTCTGTGTCACCCACTTTATGTCCCTGTCACTCTCTCAGCTGTACTTCTCTTATACATGGACAGTGTCAGAGCTCCTGTCCCTAAATTATAATCACATCAACACATAGACAGAAACCACTAAAAACTCCCATAATGCACTTGTTATAACCTACTGCATAGTTACAGTGCATACTCAGGAGTTTCGCTTCTTATTCCTCCTCTGCAGCAATTATGATTACATCCATGCTGAAAGACATCAATGCTGAAGAAAAAGACACTATAACTTTTGAGGTGACAGTAAACTATGAAGGCATTTCTTATAAGTGGTTAAAGAATGGTGTGGAAATCAAATCGACTGACAGGTGCCAGATGAGAACCAAGAAGCTCACCCACTCACTGAACATCAGGAATGTTCACTTTGGAGATGCTGCTGACTACACTTTTGTGGCTGGCAAAGCCACATCAACAGCTACCCTTTATGTTGAAGGTATGGTTCCCTAAATGTATCCGCAAGAAAAGAAAGAAGTCAAATATACCACACAAAATATTAATCTTTCAATTAAAGAATAGACAAATAGGATTTGGTAGGTCCATACAATTGGGGTGGTAATTGAAATAAAAAGAAATTATTAACACATGCTTAACATGGGTAAATGCTGGAAATACATGAAATGAAAGAAGCCAGCCACAGAACAATACAGGCTGTATGAATCCATTTGTATGAAATGGCTTTAATACACGAGTCTATTGAAACATAGATCATTAGCTTCAGTCTAGAGGGAGATGATGGGAAGTGAATATGATGGCTAAGAGAAGACTGAGTTCTTTCTGAGAAAAGTGAAATGCCTTTAAAAGTAGGGTGATGGTTCTATAATATATACAGTTGAAGTCATCAAATTATACACTCTAATATATACATTGAGCTGTATACCCTAAATCATAATATACATTGAATTATGCACTCCAATAAATCAGGATTGTTTTTGTTTCTCTTAGCCACACTGGCTTGGCCCACACATTAAATCCAGGTTGTCCAGCTGGTGCATCCAATGTGTTAATTAATTAATTGAAAATATGAATACACTCATATTGCATGGCATTGTAACAAGATGGTATCTTGCTCATGTTTAAGAACAATGTGACAAATTTGCAAAATAAGTTCCAAACCATTCCCAAAATGCTTGAAGTAAGTTTACAGATTTTGCGTTGGGCCACATTCATAGTTATCCTGGGGTGGAACCAGCCCTGTGTGTGTGGGTCAGATACCTCTTGTAAATGTATAAGTTGAATAACATGTGACTTATATATCAATAAAGATGTCAAGTGCTAATTTTTTATGTTCTGTTTTACAGCTCGTCATATCGAATTTAGGAAACACATTAAGGACATTAAGGTTCTGGAGAAGAAACGAGCCATGTTCGAATGTGAGGTTTCTGAGCCTGACATTACTGTCCAGTGGATGAAAGATGGCCAAGAGCTTCAGATAGCAGACAGGTCAGTTTTTTCCCTTGTTGTGTTCCAACTATTCCAATTTCCTTTTGAATTCCATGCATTAAGCTCAAGTTTCCTTTCATTCACAGGATAAAGATTCAGAAGGAGAAATATGTCCACCGCCTTCTGATCCCATCTACACGGATGTCCGATGCTGGGAAGTACACAGTGGTGGCAGGAGGCAACATGTCCACTGCTAACCTCTTTGTAGAGGGCAGGGATGTCCGCATCCGTAGCATTAAAAAGGAGGTTCAGGTATTGTCTACATATTGAATTTTCTGACAAATTATCAATAGTACTTAATCCACTCTTATGCTTTAATTTCTGACTTTTAACTTTTTTAATCACAGTATTTTAAAGACTGAAATCAGCTTGTCCCTATTGGCTTAGATTCTTATGTTGCCATCAGTTAACTTTTGGTTTCTTGTCACTCATCAAGTGTGTCCTTTCATTGTTCAGCTAATTTCTTTCATTAAAACAGCTGTAGATGGATTGCTGAAATGACTAAGTGGTTGAGAGCCATGGCTGCTTCCCCAGAGGACCTGGATTTGATTCCAGGCACCCATATGGCAACTTACAACCATCTGTAACTCCAGTTCCAGGGAATCTGATGCCTACTTCTGACTTCCTCTGGCACTAGGCATGCCAATGGTGCACAGGCATACATTGAGGCAAAGTACCCAAACACATAAGATAAAATTTTAAAACAGTTGTAGAAAGTATGCTGTTGAACAATGGCTACTTCCCATGCAGCTCCAATCAGAAACAAATTAAAATTTAAGTTGTGACATTCACACATTAGCTAGAAATAAGAAAATCTAAGGGATGGCAATTCTCTTTTTTCCCTATGGAGAAGCAGGTATATAGAATTTGAGTGTCTGTGATGCTTGCTATGATTCTAAGAGTAACCTCAGTGTGAACAGTGCTGGATTCATACTAAAGATGCTAAACAGACATGTTTGCTATCTGTCTTAGCCACTGTTCTATCGCTGTTAAGAGACACCATAACCAAGGCAACTCTTATAAAGAAAAGACTTAATTGGGAGCTTGCTTACAGTTTCAGAGAATTAGTTATGATCATCATGGTGGAAAGTAGACCCGAATGGGACTGCGAGCTTTCCAATCTGATCCACAGGCAGCAGACAGAGAGAAAAGACTAGGCCACACATAGGCTTTGGAATCCTCAAAGCCCACCCCCAGTGTCACACCTCCTCCAACAAGGCCACACCTCCTAATCCTCCCCAAACAGTTCTACTAACTGGTGGCCAAGCATTCAAACACATGAGCCTGTGGGGGCCATGCTCATGCAAACCTCCATAACATCCACTGTGCTTACAACGCTTATCCTTACAAATGCTGACCTTTCCAAATGAAACAATGGAAGGAGTACATTCTAAGAAATTCATTTTGAGTTTAGATCCATCGCTTTTCTCTTCCAGAAAAAAAAATCATACTTTTAGAGAAACTTGTTCTATGTTAAAAAAAAAAAAAAAAACATTTGCAATGAGGACTCACATGACCAGCCAAGCTCTTCTCCCCTTGTTTGTTTGTTTGTTTGTTTTTGTTCTGAACTTTGGTTTTGTCACTCTTAGACTAAGGATAGTAATGCTCTCTAGCTCACAGAGTTATAGTTCATATGATGTGAAATCAGATTGAAGGGGAACTTCAAAGACCTCTGTAAATAATTAAAAGCCCCCAGATGTAAAATATCATCATCTCAGTTATTATTTATTAAAGCACAAATGTTTAAAGACAAAATAATTGTCTCCTGGAGCAGCCTCCCCTCATTAGCCCAGGTATGAGCTTGATTCCCTACACAAGAGATTTGGGTACCACTTATCCAAAAACATGCAGGAAAAAAATGTAAATGTGCCATAATCAGCCAACTTATGATGTCATGGTGACCAGATTTTTCATGTTCTTTTGGTGAACAGCTTTAGAAATGGATTAACTGGACTGGAGCCAGATTCATTTTCAGTTTTCTTTCTGTGTTGTTCCCTCAACAGGTCATCGAGAAGCAGCGTGCTGTCGTTGAGTTTGAGGTCAATGAAGATGACGTGGATGCCCACTGGTATAAAGATGGCATTGAAATCAATTTCCAAGTTCAAGAACGACACCAGTATGTGGTGGAGAGAAGAATCCACCGGATGTTTATATCTGAAACCAGACACAGCGATGCAGGCGAATACACCTTTGTGGCAGGAAGAAACAGGAGTTCTGTGACTCTCTATGTCAATGGTATGTGGTTGGACTTCGTTATGTTTTGTGGCTTCATCTGGAATAATCCTTTTATTCCACTAACACAGTGGTGGTGCCTGAGAATTCTCTGAGGAACCTGTGGCACTCATCTGGATGTAACTGCATTTGTGCTCGCATCAGCCCTGTGGAAAAAGAACAGCTGCTGAAAGGACGAGTGAGCTGTCATTTCCAGGAAGCACCTGCTGCCCAGGACTTCATTTCTCTGAGTGACACTACTGAACATCCACCGTGTGTCAATTATAATATACTCCAGACAGCTTTCCATATACAACATTAAGCTGCTGTAGTTCTCTGTCCTGTTTCAGTGTAAATAACACTACTACACAAGCAATGGAGACATTTCCAGTCTTCATTGCAAAGCTTGGGAAAACCCAGAGATCTCCTTTGAGACCCTGGTGTGCCTAGAGAGCCACAGGCAGAATGGAATGAGATGAGACTCTGCCCCAGGCTCTAAGATCAGTGCTTTGCCTTTGGAAGTTGGAATTCCTCATGCCACCAGGAGCTTCCTAATAGTCCTCAGGAGGATGTCAGGAAAGCTCTGCTTTCCTCATTAGAAATGCTAGCTCTGAACTTAAAGCTTGGCAGGACCCGAGCCTAACCTAGACACATAGAAAAGAATAGAACCTGCCTCCCAGCCACATCTCTGGCTGTCTTGGAGAAAACTCCCTCAAGTCAGGTGGAGGGGTGCTAGGAGTTGTCTCAACATTCATAAAGATAATACTTTGGCCCTGGTCTCCCTGGAAGATGCATTCGTCATGACATCCAGTTTTGTTTCTTCTGTAGTAGTAACAGAGAGGCAGAAGCTCAGAAGTAATACCAGATGCCAGCCTGTATAAGCCTTTCTTCCTGTTAGTGGTCTTCTCATCCAACACTGAGAGCATACACTGATTAGCATAATCACAAAGCTGAACTTTTAAAATCTGTTTATTTGCACTTTACTGATATGGAATAGTATTCAACCAGCCAATGCTTCCATCCCATCAGCCCCTGTATGTAACAGAGCAACCGTGACATATACATAAATACTTGTAAAGCAAACAAACCTGAATGTGATAAGCCTCCTCACTGTGGCATTTGTCCAAATAACATTTAAAAGTAGGTAGGAGATGAGAACTGTTCTAGATTGTTAGCTGTCTGTTGGTGTGCACCAACAACGAACCAGAACAATGACATCATACTTAGGTGCCTGACTCTCCATGCCTCTCATGAAACTTTTTAAAGTCTATCTTTAAAGTCTATCTTTAAAAAGTCAAGGAAGTTATTTCCCTTCCTTGAAAGGAAAAAAAAAAAGATCTCCTCTTAGTGCAAAAAAAAATTGAGATGCCAGTAAAGATATCACAACACTGGGGTTTTGTTTCTAGATGCCTAGCCATTTGAAACAAATGCCATTTACCCATCTCCTTCCTTCATGGGCTCCTTCCTGGCATTGTCTTCTAGCTCCTGAACCACCCCAAGTCCTGCAGGAGCTCCAGCCTGTCACCGTGCAGTCCGGCAAGCCTGCTCGTTTCTGTGCTGTGATATCAGGCAGACCACAGCCCAAAATTTCCTGGTACAAGGAAGAGCAGCTGCTCTCTACTGGCTTCAAGTGCAAGTTTCTCCACGATGGACAGGAGTACACTCTTCTGCTCATCGAAGCCTTCCCAGAGGATGCGGCTGTCTATACCTGTGAAGCCAAGAATGACTACGGAGTAGCCACAACCTCAGCTTCTCTTTCTGTGGAAGGTAGGAAGCCGGCCCAAAGCTCTCCCAGGGTAGCAACAATAGATTGCTCCCTGAGTCTGAGAGCACTCTCCTGTGAAATCCAGAACTGTGGGTGCCCAATCAGTGTGGGGACAATCATGACAAATTCTATGGTCTCTTTCTTTAGTTCCAGAAGTTGTGTCTCCAGATCAGGAAATGCCAGTTTATCCCCCTGCCATTGTCACTCCACTTCAGGACACAGTCACGTCTGAGGGGCGGCCAGCACGTTTCCAATGCCGAGTTTCAGGGACAGGTAGGTGCTTGATAAAATTGTCATTATTGGTGTTTGCAAAGGATAGTGTGGGACACAGAGTTCTTCATCCTTTCTTCCATCATGAATATCTCTCACAAATGATTCAACCTGACTGAACACTTAGCTGCAGATATATTAGAATTACTTAATTATTTTGCCTTCATGTATGTCTGTGTGAGGGTGCCAGGTCCCCTGAAACTGGAGTTAAAAACAGTTGTGAGCTGCCATGTGGGTACTGGGAATTGGACTCCGGTCTTCTGGAAAAACAGTCAGTGCTCTTAACCTCTGAGCCATCTTTCTGGCCCCTTATTAGAATTGTTTAATTAAGAATTATATCATTATTATATACACTACTTTTTTGCATATATTGCCTTATATGTATATATAATTATATACTACTGTTTTGTATATATTCCCTTATATGTATATATTATTATTATTATATACTACTGTTTTGTACCCCTAAAAATGGTACAACTATTCTTTCTGAAAGTCTTTGAAGATTTTTCTACAAATGCCTTAAAAATATCTAGTATCCTTATGATTGTAGCTGCATTTTGAAATCTTAATTGGGAAATGACAAAACTTACAGTTGTTATGTATTTATAGTAGCATTTTCATAGATTTCAAGAGAAACCATTCCATGTGAGACATTATTGAGTCTATGGACAAGGCATACAGAAAGTGTATTCCTGTAATGGACAAAAGTTTAGGCTTTCTACTCATAGGTGAGACTGGAATTGTGGATGCAACGTGTTACCTACATATGGGTATGAGGTTGCTTTGGTTCTCTTTCCTTCATGAACATAATGAGAAAACTATTATATGAAACCCTAGAAAATAATCTCAATCGGGCAGGGATTATGCTTTAGTGTATAGAACCTGGTGCCTGAAAAAAAAAATAGTGCAACCTAAAAGGGAAGAGACTTTGGGAAAGCTAGGGGACCCTTGCCCTGAAAGGACACCTTGTCTATAGTAGATACTCAATGAGAAATTAGTGATGGGTGAAATAAATGGCTGTTCAATGGATAATATCAACCCCTTCAGATTATAAACAAGGGTGAGTTAAAAAATAAAACCTCAAGGCAGCATCTCACACAGTGTTTGCCACATAACCACCCTTCAGAGTTATCATTATTAATTGTGAGCATGCTTATCAAATGCCACCAGCAACCCATCACTTGACTTTGAAAAGGAAATATTTTAAAAAGTGTAAGTGTGATTGTGGCCTGACCTCAGATGCTCACAAGAGCAATCAAAGGGGTAGTGAATGATTTACTCTAGATGAAAATTACTTCCTCCTTTTCTTGGTTTTGTGCAGCCACACTACAGGGGTATTCTCAAGGCTTGGTAGCTGTTGTTTTGTTTCCTACACTTCTTCCATTAGTTTATAACCCGATTTCTGCCTTGCCATCAGCTGTTTTCCTAAACCAGTTAGGATTTCAATAGATCTTCTGACCTAATGGCATCCTCCTCTGGGGTGGAGATGCTAATCAAGAAACCTAATAGACCTGTTCAGTTTATGAGTATAATTAAAGTCTGATGTATTGGAAGCACCTGTAGGCATGGCTCCCAAGTGACTGGTGCTAATGCACCCATTTATTAGAGCCTTAGAGACTCATGCTGGATATAAAATGTAGGTAGATTCTATGGACTTTGTGTCTTTGAAGTATAATTTTTGAGACATGCTGAATACCAGTAATGGAAGATAGTTTGATAATGTTCTTCTAATGTAGTAATTTCATTTTAAAATGAAATTTACTAATCTACACCATACACACACACACATACACACACACACACACACACAGAGAGAGAGAGAGAGAGAGAGAGAGAGAGAGAGAGAGAGAGAGAGAGTCATTGAATTTTAGAGGAGAATTTTACAGACACATACACAATCATGTAAGTAGCAATCATTATAACAATATGTGTATAAGGGTTTTTAGTCTACATCATATTATAGTTTTATCTTAAATGTGACAAAAATGCATCCTAAGTTTTCTACAAAACTATAGAGTCAATAAGGAAAACTCACTTCTGCATAATTGATGTCCATGTTAGAGTGGACCTTGTAGTTTTACAGCATCATTAACTACCTGTGTATAGAATATTTATGCACATGTGGACATTTCTGTACCCTCATGCAGACATGTCTTTAATATGATATAAATTAAGTTCATGAAATGAAGCAACCTTCCAGAAACCTCCAAATGAATGATGTTTTATTCCTGAGACTGAAAATATTTACACCACATACCCTGGCCATGTACTTCCTACGAGAGTGCATCCTGCCTCCCACAAACTAGAGAGGATTCTGAATTTCAAATCCCTGGCCCTAAACTTTCAGAGTAGGGAGGAAGGAAGCCTGGGTACCTTCTGAAGCCTGAGTGAACACTTTCAGGCTTCTGTCTCTCTAGGAAAATATTATCTGCTGAAGGTCTCTGGTGCCCCCTACCGGTAGAAAGGAAATTTGGAAACGTGTACATTTAGCATTTGCTCGTTCTACAGAAAATAAGCCTGAAACACTTAGAGGCTTAGAGAATGACAGATTAATTAATTAATTAAGAATTATTAATCTAGTGATAAATGATTTTCACTGTTTTCCTAAGCACCCTCTCCAATTTTATTCTAACAATATTTAAACTGCTCCATTGCTGTGGAGACGCTAAGTGCTGGGAGTGGCCGGACTGGCTCTTGCCTTCTAAGAGGTAAAGAGACACATGAGTCTAGACCCCACAGTCATAAATGCTGTCACATAAACTAAGTGTTCTCTGTCAGAGAGACAGCTGTGTGTGCATTGAACAAGGGGTGGTAGGATCGGAGCAAACACAGCGTAAGAAGCAGAAAGGGATGCTTTTACAAGTCACAGAGGACTTTGAATTTGATGGCCTGGAATCAATCCACTTACAGTTGAAGTTTAGTTGTTAGGAATAGGCAAAAGGAAAAAAAAAAAAAAGCCAGATACCAGAGCTTTCCGTTCTGTGCCTAGATTTTAGAGTTGGTCTTATTTGCAACCAAGGAGTCCCCCAGGGATTTTTTTTTTTAAACCTCTATGCATCTCTATCCAGTCTATCTTTAGAAAAGATTTTTTCTTAATAAAGAAGATCAGGAGAGAAACTTGGAACGTACTGATGAGGCCCTCACCAGGGAGACCCGGGGAGGGGAGGGAGAAGAAAGGGTGGTGGAGAAAATATTCAAGAAGTATAAGAGAGTGAGGGTTAGTAACCAGGTGTAAAGGTGAGAGGGAATGAGTGGCAGGTGGGGGAGTGCTCACAGAAGAGGCAATCAGCCAATGAGGGCTCACAGAAGCTGCAGTCAGCCAATGAGCAACTCAGACGGTGGTGTGCTCGCCAGATGGACCAAATGCTCTGCCAAGAGAGGCTCTATTTTTTTCTCTCCATTTACTGCATTGGTTGTTAGCAGTTCCCATCCTTTGTTTTCCATGGTGCGTCAATCAGTTCGCCAATGGCAAAATTGTCAGTAGCAATAAACACAGAACCTTGTAATGAGATGTACCAAGCTCTTCATCATGGAAATGAAACACACATGCATGTGTGCACACACAGACACACACAGTTTAGTTCATGTATGGAATAGATATTTAATTCTTGTGACATTTGCCTACCACATGCCCTTAGCCTTTTACATGTTACTGAAGACACTGCTGGTCTCCTTTGGCATCAGACATTTTGCTACAATATGCACCCCTCTTTCAGTGATTTGTGAGTCATTCCATGTGGTATGTCACTGAGCTCTCACAGCAGTTGTATGCAGTGTTTAGTCTGTGAATTCTTATGAATCCCTTTTTACAGATGAGAACCATGATCTATAGAGATTAAATGACATGTCCAGGTCAGAAGCTATCAAACTATACTGCCAGCATACCGTTGCTAATGTACCTTATAATCTAGGGAGCAGGAAGGTTCAGCTCTTTAGAAGGAAAAATCATGTGGTTCATACATCGCTGCTGTCACTGGGAGGAGGGTGTCATTAACAAATCAAGGAGGGCACCAAGATTCTGAATGACTGAGCTACTAGAATAGGACTAAGACAAGGAAATTGTCACGACTGTGCTCCAAACCAAGACGGCCCAGTTCTGATACTAAACACACTTAACTAAATGTGTGTGTTTCCTTAAAGTAGAGCCACGTGGCAACATTTCATCCTTGATTCATATTTTTCTTTATATTGAGATAGCTCAAATTATTGCATGGAAACAGTCAAATGAGTCTAAGATGTCTAAATGCTATGAGTTTTCCCTCTCTTTCCATTTGTAAAAGTTACTTTCTATAGAACTATTTTGCTAAAGCCTTTCAATATTGGCCCATTGGTAACAAAGTGTAGAGATGTAAGGATGACTGTAGGGGCACACCTGTAGCCAGCCCTTACTTAGGAGGTATGATTATGGTGTCTCCCTCCAGATGTTGGTTTTAGGCTTGATGGGATGGTGAGTTGCTCAAATCTCTTGTTTACTTATCCTTAGCAAACTACAGTGGACATTTCCCTCACATCCTCTCCTATGCCTCAGCCATAATTTCCAGATCCTTCATCCTGCTTCACAAATGAACGCTTTCTCAAGCTACTGAACGTGGCACACAAATGTCGAACAATACTATAACCAATGGCTAGGAGGGGTGTCACATCCCTGCAATTCCAGCATTAGGACTTAGAGGCAGACGTATTAGAAGTCAGAGGTCAGCCTCTACACAGCAAGTTCAAGGCCAGTGTGGGCAGCATGAGACTCTATCTCAAGAAAACTTTTTTTTTTAAAAAGGATAAAACTAAAATTTTACAGTTTAAAACATTGCAACTAGTTCAGCAATAGAAGAAGCTAGATCTTTCTAGAATCATGTTTCCTTCTTGAAGATGGGAGCCATATAGTCACACAGGTGCTTACAGATAAGTAAGAAACACTCTCGCTTTAACAATTTAAATGTGTTTTCTTTTGCAGATCTAAAAGTGTCTTGGTACTGCAAAGACAAGAAAATCAAGCCATCTCGGTTCTTCAGAATGACACAGTTTGAAGACACCTACCAGCTAGAGATTGCTGAGGCTTATCCAGAGGACGAAGGGACGTACGCTTTCGTTGCTAATAATGCTGTGGGCCAAGTGTCCAGCACCGCCACCCTGCGACTGGAAGGTAGAGCGAGACTCTTCAATTTCACAATACCACTAACAGTTACTAGTCATGGAAACCACTGGCCCTTCCATTCTTTTCATTGTAATTTGTGATCCCCACATTGCACACAGTTTCTGCTCCTTGTTGACCAGTTCTCTCTGGACCCTTGTCTTTTTATTTTGCCCCGCTTTTTCTTCATAAAGATTTGTGACACATTACTGTCACCACTGGCTTTCTGCTTCCTAATCAGCATGTATCAGACTGTAGAGAAAAATGCTGAAGAAGTAGGTATAATTGCTTTATTACTGAGCTAGGGTAGAGACCAGACCATCTTCATGTGGTGTTGACACACCTATGATTTCATAGGCATTACAGTAGATAATTTTAGATCTGATCACAAGATTATATGTTCACCAAGAAGAAAAGGACCCCTAAGTGTTGAGAGACCTACTGTTGAGGTGACATAAATTTTCTGTTCATTAGCTATGCTATAATCACAAATACTTTCTTGGTCACCAAGGACTTTAATTCAAGACAAGAGTAACAATGGCTGGGAGTGTGGTTCAGTGGTATGGCACTTGCCTAGCATGCTCCAGGTCTTAAGTTTGTCCCCCAGGAACACATACACACACACACACACACACACACACCTAATAGAACAATTATAAAAGAATTTCACACATATTATTTTTTCTCAGTAAATGTAATCTATATGATGTATACAGAAATCCATAAGGATTTCTATAATTTTAAGAGCTATAATTATATATTTTCTTAATAATGAATTTAAAGTGGTTTACAAACTAGAAAAGTTTGATTTATAAGCAGAGTGGGAAAAAATAATCCCTAAACCTAGTTGCATTCTCTACTATTGCCTTCACAAGCAAAGGAGTTCATTTTATTCTTTAACCCGTTTGTGTCTCAGCTTGTCTATCTGGAAAATGGACATGAATTTGTGTGACTCTGATTCAGTAGTGACAAAGTGTTAGAATTGGATTGGGGTCTAGTTCTTCGATGAAATCTGTGGTAAACTTAAAATAGACAATTCCAAATGAGTTTTGATTTAAGCAGGGAGGAGCATTAAAAACTGGCATGCTTCTTTTCAGGATTTAGCAAATCTGAAGAAGTTACATCAGACTTCCAATGGCATGTCTCTCCATCAGTTTCATTTAAGAAGGAGGCCCTTGGCCAAAAGCCCATCTTCACCCAGCCTCTGTCAAGCCTCAGGGTGCACATCGGGGAGACAGTCAGATTTCACGCGAGGGTTTCTGGTGTTCCCAAACCAGCAGTCCAGTGGTTTCATAATCACCAGCCAATTCTACCATCAAAAGATGTAGTTTTCCATTTTGAGGAGTCCACAGGCATGGCTTTAATGCTTATAGTTGATGCTTACCCAGAGCATGCTGGGAAATACTCTTGCAGAGCAGCCAATAGTGCTGGGGAAGCCACCTGTGCAGCTACACTCACAGTGACTGCAAAAGGTAAAACCCCTCTTGCTCTAAGGACTTTGATTTGCTGTCTGTCATCCCACTGCTACTAATGAGATTCCTTGCTGCTTGTTTCACTGCATACTTCAATCAGTTCACAATTTACTAACCAACTAACTTGCAATACATCTCGCCAAGCCTCCAACCACGGGTTAACCTACATACTTGAATCTACTAAAGTATGTATTCTATGTATTCTATGTAGCAGGAAACCACTATTTTTGTTAGGCACCAATTTTGCTTGGCTGCTTTCTTTTGGAAGAGAGGTTTTTTTTTTTTTTTTCCCCAAATGACATTGCATCATTTCATCATCAAATGATCTTCCTGCTTAATAATATATTAAAGCATATGATGAAGAACCAGTATTGTGTCAGATAGAGTCAGATAAATAAAAATTGGTAGGGTTGGAGAGAGAACCAGATTGTGTCACTCTGCATGGCTGAAAAGGATGACAGAGGAAAGGAGCCAGATGCTGTCTGCTGTCTACATAAGCCTTCAGTACCCACCCACTGCAGGACCACTGGTAGTGAATTTTCTCTTGTGTGGCTCTACATTCTAGAGCACACTGCATCTGGCATACTGTTTGCATGATGATGGCCTCATTTACCTTCATCTTCCATGCCATTTTATGTTACTGACCTAGACAAGGGAGACAGTTTCAAACTTGACATTCTTTTCTCTCTTCTCTTGTCTCTGAATTGTACAGTGTAAGGTCTAGACAGGCAAAGTTCTAGGAAAGACAGACGTAAGAGAGTCCACAAAGTCCTGAACAGCAAACAATACCTTCTTCACAAAGGAGGAGAGCAAAATATTCACAAAGGAGAGAGTCGTGCCCGAGGATCGTTGTGTAAATATGCAGTGTATGTGCTTTGAGAGTGTATCTCAAAGCTCTACCCACACGGCTAGGTTGCACCACATGGTGCCCGTATCACAAATTGCAGAAAGTCCTGAGTTATGAGAAAGATCTGCCAAAGATTTTGGAGGGAAGAGGGGTGTAGCCAAGACCCTCCTGCCTCTTCGGGTCTTCACTGTAAAGTGTGGCAACACTGCTCAGTTTCTCTGTGTTCCAGAAGTGAATCTTCTGTTGATATTATCTAGCTGCACAAGGGTGTGATGATGGAGGCATTCAAGAGAAGTGCCTGCAGAATGAAAACATTAGTGCCTTGCTGGGGACAATGTTTAAGTAGTAGACCAAGGACTATAGAGCTATGCTGTGCACAATGGTTGTGGAAAGATGAACTCGGCAGTGCTAGGCGTAGAAGGTGGCCACGTGACATGTACAACTTGCTTCACTTCATCCCCGTCACTTTCTGAAGCTTTCTATGCAATTAAACCAAGTCAGTGAATATGTTCCTTAAACCATCTCTAGCCTCTTAGCCATAAGCACCTGATGAAAGTAGTCCAAGTCACCGGCCAAACTTATAGGAGAATTTAACTTTCTAGTCCAGATACAGTTAGAAATCTCAGATCAGGAAATCCAGTCATTTTATGTGTGCTTCTCCTTCTAATCTTTATAAAAGGCAAGCCTTAAAAATACACCAGAGAAGGCTAAAATATTGTAGCTGCCAAGCACTCCTTGGGTAATTATCATTGTGTCTGACACTGAGCTGAATTTCAATTTAATTGATTCCATAGTGAGAGTTCAGCAAATTATCATTAATGATAAGTGAGTTTACCATGCAGCAGCCATTGTAATGTCTTTTCAGGCCTGGAGGTTCTAGGTTTATAGAAGAAGCCATGAAAATAGAAAATTGGATATTGAAAATAATAAGGTTCTATTTGGACTACAATTAATGGTCTGTAGATAATTTTTCTATAAATGATACTGATTTTACAGCCTTACATTCTCTTGAAATTATAGCGATTTTTCTCATGTCGATGTCATTATTTTAGCTATTATTGTGCTTGATCTCTATTGTGTCTCAAAGAGCAAAGAAAAATTTGTCTGGGAGAAGCATAATTTTCCCCCTTATCTGTAACCTTGTGTTTTAGACACAAATAGAATGAGAATATTGTATTTGAAGGGCCTGGAGTTTGTGTTATATATCTATAGGCAAAGGACCTACTTGGTCACATGAAAAGAGGGCAGCGGACAGAGGTCAGGCATCCTTGGGGGTTGTGGGAAGGAATAGCCAGTTCCTCCCTGATCCTCATCAAATGGCTGGTGGCTATAGTGATAACCAGGGGGGCAGTAAAGATTTGTCTTGAGTACAGCTATCTCTGCACTGAATTGCAATCATCCTTCTGGCCAGTTCAGAGGTTCAGTCTCATTAGTTCACTAAATACATCTATAGTCCCGCTCGCCAAGAGGAGCTTCTTTTCTGAATATGAGAGTTTTGTTCCATGGCAATCACTCGCTCTCTCTCCAAAGCATCCATGTGAATGAAGTGGCTCTGTTCAGAGCACTGGCTCTTGGTTTCACTGCAGTTTTGGTGAGCACAGTAATTATACATAATGGCTGTCTAGAGGGGCTGTGTAGGTGACAGCAGTGACAGTTTTGCCACATTATGCAGTTGGGAGTCGGCCATGTTATAGAAGGGGGAGAAGTATGGATCTTTCAGATATCGTCTACAATGTACAGTGCCGAGTATCATCTTAATAGAGTGGATTGACCTGTACACTTTTGCCCCAGGAATTCTTGTGTGCTCAGTTCTAATTGATTATGTTATTAAAATATAACTGAAGCAAGAGAAGATTTTTGAATTAGTACACTTCTTGTACTAATAAAAGTATTAGAGTTAAGATGCTTTTTGTGTTTGAGGAATGAAGGATTGAGCTCAAGCATCTAATTATTTAACATAAAGCCAGTATTTATATTTACCTCTTTTATTTGGATCTAATACATTTTTAAAAGCTATGTGGCTGCCCACCAAGATCAAATAGGAATGTAACCGGCTTGTCAGTCTGTTTGCATATGGTCGTAAAGTACATAATAAAATAGTTACAGAAAATGTTACTTTTGAGCCTAACATGCTTTTCTTCTCATCATCACGACAGCCTGCCTTCTTGACATTCAGCATGAGTTGTATTCTTCCAAACACAGCTAACGTATGCCTTGTCCTAACTTTATTATAAACTAGCAAAAGAATCATGAGGCAGAGTATTTCCACAACTTAATTTTTTCTCAGACACTGAAAGTGTAATACTCAAAAAGTCACAAACTAAACCAACCTATGAAGTTAAAAAAAATCATTGCATTGGGTTTGTCATTTATATCATGCCACAGATCACAAGGAAATGCAAAAAAAAAGAAAGAAAGAAAGAAAAAGAAAGAAAGAAAAGAAAGAAAGGAAAGAAAGAGAGCCTTTGTGGCATCTGTCACAATGCTACATGAATTGGAGAACATGTATCCCAGGCTACCAGCCCTCATCCTGGAGGCTGTCCCAGAGGTCATAGTGCTGCAAAGCTGTATCTTCTCCCTATATAATAAAAGCAATTTAGACTTGAGAAGTCTTTGTTCACTGGCGATGTATAATTGGACTTTGTACAGTTTCAAGCTTGAGAGGTGGCTCAAATCAAGGAACTATTTACTAGGTTTTTTTTTTTTAAAGCTTCATTCTGCTGAAAAAAAAATCTAAAAGTGGCAAGCAAGCAAGTGCATGTTCCTAATAAATGTGGTTTCATCTCTTAGCAAGTGTGTAGTCAGTAGAACATCACAAGGAGAATATTCCTTTAGCTCTTGAGTTGCTTTTCTGAGTGCATGTAAAGGCATGGGGGGTTGGGACTCTACTCTGTCAACTTTTGATACATCAGCTCATCGATTATTTGGCATGGGTACCTTGGTGGAGTGTGTTTCTCTTTTTATATAACAGAAAGGTGGTGTTTATCACATAAATCATGAACTGAGTCACAACCTGTATGCGGTTACTCACCAAAATTTCTTGTTGCCTTTCCATTTTAGCCCCTGAATCCATTTTACATGAGAGGATTGGACAGCAGATTGAAATGGAGATGAAAGGTATTGTTACGATCAATGTGAGATTAAAGTAGAAATTCTGGAGGATTGGTGGAATCCCTGGCCTACTTTATTTCTCTTAGTATTACTGAGAATATGGCATAGATGTATAAATATATCTCTTTGAGTATATATGACTATGTCGCATGCCTGGTTCAGAATGCGGATGGTTATGTGCATCTCACAGTAATTTGTTGGATGGTCATTTTAAATCTTGTATTGAAACGTTCAGATTCATGTTTGCAGCCATCTTGAAAAGTGTGTAGTATGGACAGTTGTCACTTTAATGCATGGAATCATGAAGTAGAAGTTTGTTTCCAAAATCATGGTGAATTGAATTGAATTGAACAATGAGCGTTAACCTGTCATTTTCAGAATGCAATGTCATGAATGAATTATAAGAGAAATGCTACTTTGTTTAGGATGTGTGGAAGCCTTACATTCCCATTCTTGGTCTACACCTCATGAACACAGATCACTTTAACACTGACATGTCTCTTATACTGGCTTGCAGATAGCTATCTCATGTGACCCGTGCCTGCTTTACTTTGCATAATGTTGTGACTCTATAGCTGTATTAGTTCGAATAAACGCCTTCTCATTTTATCTCATCTAACTATGATTATAGTTCTATATATTTTTTGAATAGTGAACTCTCAAAAATCTAATAACTTAATCTACATTCAAAAGGATCAGAAAGGGCGTTTATTCTACTCTCTGCAAGTCAGGTAAGACTTTCCTCTTAGCCATCAAAACAGCAAAGTTGTCCTGCCCTCAAAGCAATTGCACACAGGAAAATGTTATTTTGAAATGCACTTTTGCTTGTTCAAGAGGAAATTTCAGCAGTCTGAAGAAACCAGACCAGACAACGAACGATTTTCATGTCAGAATCTTTTAAACTGAACACGGTGTTGCGTTTATTCGAACAAATATGGTGAGTGAATCTTTTATGGATTTGTGAGACTCTGTAGCATGCACTTTATTTCATTTTCTATTTGCAATTTCATTTATTTTCAACTTTTTCGAGTACTACGGAAAATAGTAAAATGCTTTGTAATTTGATTTTCTTTGCAGAAGAACTCTCTGAAGGAGAAGCTGAACATGCAGGAGACAGGCGCAGTGCCTTCTCTGACTCTGAAGACATAGCCCACCACTCCCTGATGGCGAGGAGATATGCAAGTAGAATGTCATCCACAAGCTGCTGGCCCGAATGTTTCAAGCCTACTTTTACTCAAAAACTCACATTTCAATATGTTTTAGAGGGTGAACCTGTTGTGTTTACATGCAGACTGATTGCCTGCCCAACTCCAGAAATGACGTGGTTTCATAATAATAGGCCCATCCCAACAGGTCATCGTCGGGTTATAAGAACTGAGAATGATTTACACCAACATTCTTCCAGCTTAGAGGTGAAGAGGGTCCAAGGCCGAGATTCTGGAAGTTACAGGTTCTTGGCAGTTAATAGTGAGGGATCTGCTGAGTCCAGTGCATCCTTGCATGTTATCCAGAAAGGGCAGGATGAGAGATACTTAGAATTTCTGAAAAGGGCCGAACAGACCTTTGAAAGCACAGGGGTTCTGGGTGAAAGGAGAGAAGAGAGGATTAAGGTTGACCTGAGGTTTACTGGCTCCCCTTTTAACAAAAAGCAAGATGTGGAACAAATGGGAATGATGAGAACAATACACTTTAGAAGAGTGAGCCCTGTTAGGAGAGCAGACTATGTATACGATGACAGTGAGTGGCCAGAAAGTAAATCTGATAGCAGAGGTTGTCTTAATGTAGGTGAAAGGTTTCTAGATGAGGAGACCAAAATGAAGTTGCAGCGATTACGGGAGGCTAGAAGAATCTTCTTAGAGAAAAAGAAATCATCCATTTTAGATGCATCATCGGAAATAAACTCAAAGACTATGAGAAGTGAGGATGTTGTTAGAGATGCCCCATTCTCTAGAGAGCAAGTGAAGAGTAGATTTGTGGGTGAGTTTACCGAAGACAGGGATAGGGTCGAAAACTTAGCTGAGAGAATCACCCAAAATCCATACTCCCTTCCTAATCAAATACATCAAAACAGAGAACCTCCTCCAAGTGTCCAAGCAACTGGTGATGAAGAAATTCTCCAGACTGAAAATAGCCTGAGCCAAGAGATATTTCTAGAAGAAAGCCTCCCAAAAGGCTGTTTTTATGAGCATGTCCTAGTAAGTGAAAACATGCAAGCAAGGGATCAGTTTGAAGAAGCTATGACCAGTGCTGTCAGAGAATCAGCGTTCACCTCTAATCAGGAGATGTATGAATATAAGAGTGAGGAGATGTGTGAGGTTCCTGAAAAGATGTCTCAAGTTCTCACCCCATATTCCAGTGAGTCTTTGGATATGCTTGTAAATATTAAAGAAACCGAAGATGTAGATAGTGAAGGAGGAACACAGCAGGGCTGGAGAAGACAATACCCTGTTTCCGTGGATGTAGAAGAATTAAAAACTGAACAGGAGGAGAAAATAAGATCTTTTGAAAATTACTTTCAAAAACATCCACAGCGTTGCCCACCTTCATTTCTTCAGGACATTGAATCTCAAGAAGTTTATGAGGGTGATAGCTGTAAATTTGTATGTCATTTTCAAGGGTACCCTCAGCCCATAGTGACATGGTACAACAATGAGATGCCGATACCACGGAGTGAAGGCTTTACAACTCACACATTCGAGAACTACTCAACATTAACGTTTCCTTCTGTTCAGTCTCGACATGGAGGCTCGGTTACCTGTGTGCTGTTTAACCAGTATGGAACAGTAAAAGCAACCGGTATGCTTAGAGTAAAGGCAAAACCCAGGTACGTTTCCCAGCCTCCTAAGGTCCCAGGGTGGCCTGATTACACAGATGAAGAGGAAGAGCTGGCCTTGGTGTTTGACCAGGCAAGAAGTACTCATCTATCTTTCAGTCAAGAGGGCCAAGGACATCTTTATCAGATAAAATCTCGACCCCCAGAGCTCCCCTCTGCAGACACAGAGTTACTCTCCTTCCCTGTAGAAATTCAGATAACTGCAGCCACCCCAACCCCAGAACAGGACAAAGAATACAGGGAACTGTTTGAGGTAGAGCCTGAAGCAACGCCTCGAGATCAAACCAGCCAATCACCAAAACACAAATTCATATTCTCCTCTGATATTACTAATGAGCCACCCAAAATATTTCAGGAAATGCCAAGGAATGCCAGTTGTAGGGAAGGGGATTCTATAATACTTGAATGTTCAATATCAGGAGAGCCTCAGCCTGTAGTCACATGGTTACATAATGGTGTTCTTATAAAGCAGAACCAAAAGTTTGTGGTTGAAAAAGTTAATTATAGCCACAGGTTATATATCTATGATGTCAACTCACAAGATTCTGGAAGCTACGAATGTGTGGCTGAAAATGATTCAGGTGTAGCTGACAGTATTCTAGATTTAACCGTAGAACCCATCACTTACAGGGAATACAGTCAATTGGAAGATATAAGTGGAACTTTCGCACAATATTCTAAAAAGCAACAAGCACAAGTTCAGGAGGAATATGCAAGGACAGATTTTTATGATGATCTAGTTGGCCCTGCTGCTGCCCAATCAAATATAAAAGAGTATACTGTAAGGGAGTATTTTCAAAGTCTTGAGACAGTTGGGCAGGTGGACAAGAAAAATGAAGTATATGGTACAACCTCCAGTGAAAAGCTTTCCAAATCCATGCAGGGCACTTCTAGAGCCACAGAGAGTGATCAGCCTCACAGAGCTGAATCCCTACGATACCAAGGTGAGGAGCATGTAAGTGAAAACTCTCAGCCACACAGAGCAGAGGGCGACATCTATCCATTCAGTGATGACTTCAGCAAAGCTAGCTTTAGAAAAGAAGTTGCCGATGACTTCGGAAACCATGGAGCAGAATGGGGAAATATGCAAGGGCATTCTCCAAGTGATCATGTGTTGAATATCCACTCCAAGAGAACCTCTGACACAGTTCAGGACATGAAAGCCTCGCCTGTCACTACCTACGAAGAAGCTCTTGGAGGAGAGAGGTACTACCCAGGGAAAAAGGTGAAGCATAAGATTATTGCATTCGAAAAGCTGCAGCGTGCAGAAAGGGGAGTTCTAGAAAAAAGACGGACCAAGAAATCATTTGTTAGTGCCCCACAGAAGAAGCTGGATGATCTAGAGCTTTCTGTAGAGCAAAGAGAGTCAGGCTTAAGCAAGCTGAGAGTAAATTCCTATCTGGTGGAGGAAATGTCTTCACATATAGAAGCAGATTCATCTAACATTGTTATGGATTGGAGGGAGCTTTCCTCTCAAGCTTCTGAGGGATTTGAGATAGAAGAGAAGGAACACCAGGAAGAAATGCTCCCTCTAGATCAAGCCGTAGTTTCAGAGAAGGGTGAGCTAGAAGCACCTGTTACATTTGACCTGAAGCAGTTTCACTCACAGCTAGAAAGCACAGGCATAATATCCCAAGACTTGCCCAATGGTCAACAGGCTAAGAGCTCTTTAAAAACTCAACAACATACTTCAGAAATAGTTAATCCTGAAGTCATTGTCTTTGACCTAAAGCAAATGTATTCTCATACAGAAGATCCAGACAAGGTTTTCCAGGGCCAAGAAACTGAGAACAAACAGGAAACACACCACAAAGAAGAAATTTCTATCTGCCAAAGCTTTCACTGTGTGCAGGAACAAAACACGGAAATGTTAGAAACCGATCACTCGCTTAAGTCTTTTTCTGAAGCGTTGCATGGTGAATCTTGGGCTTTATTTCAGACTTCACCTGCTGACACGAGAGAAGCTAATGTTTCTGAGAAGAATGGTTCTCTAGGAAACGAACATAGTTTCATCTCAGAGTTGAAAAGTGCAGCGAGTGAGGAAGACATTTTGGAGGTTCATGAAATGGAAGACAGTTCCAACAGACCAGCATTTGGTCTGACTCAGGGATACAATGGAACTCTGGAAGACCCGAGAGGGGACGTGCAGGGAGCAGACATGCCTCACAGACAG